TGCCGAGGGTATCCTTTTTTAACCATTTTTAAAGAATTCGAAGGCCTATTTTTATTGCGGGGTTTAGACGTCTCCGAGCCGCGTTAGTTTGTCCGTAGCCTTTGGGTGTGACTCTTGGTCTTACTTTCCCAACAACACTTCAAACATGTTCGAAGTGTTAGTCCCCGAGAATGATGGCCTTGGCCTATAAATCGAGGGATGCCTCTTTGAGGTCTTTAGATAATTCGAACATGTTGATTTTCGACGGCAGTCCCCGAGTATGAGGGTTGACCGTTCGAGGTGTATTTATACTTGGCCCTTGAGCCATTTACCGTTCGAGGTGTAATCGTAATTGGCCCTTGAGCCATTTTCACAAAAATCATAATCCTGGAGCTTGTATAGTCGAAAATTTTCTTTGAGGCACAAGATATTTGATTAGGAAAAATGCTTCATTGAATAATTTATAAATGCGTACATGTTTTGTCGTTAGGGCTCGGGAAACCTATACGGGCACGGTTTTTTTGATCGTTTGACCCTTTACAAAATTTTCCTATCGAGACCCTGCTGACACAAAGCATCTTCTTTGAAAACATAACATAACATCTCAGGATGATGCCCCCCAGTATTCGAGGTTGAATGTAAAGAAGCCTCAGATACTGTTGAATTGTCCTATGGTAGCATATATAATGTTGCCTCATTAAATACCTCTCCAGAACAATCCATTTGGGATAAAACCCGATCTAAGGGAAAAAGAGTGCAACGCGTGCTTTAAAACCTAAGGTCCTCGTGTTGAAGAGCTTCTCAACATCTTCGATTGAACACCTGTAATAAGTTAGTATCAAATACAAATGGAAAGGGAAAAGTCATACCTTAGCAATAATATTGTTTGAAGAGTGATATATTCCAATTGTTTGGCAATTGTTCGCCCTTCGTTGTGCCAAGTTTGTAATCTCCCTTTCCGATGATACCGAGGTCCTGATATGGTCCATCCCAATTTGGGCCGAGCTTCCCTTCGTTCGAGTCTCGAGTATTGAGGGTGTCTTTTCTCAAAACTAAGTCTCCTATTTTGAAGTGTCGAAGATTGTCTCTTCGATTGTAATATTTTTTGATTCGTTGTTTTTGGCGACCATTCGAACGAGGGCGGTTTCCCATTTTCATCTAATAGATTGAGTCTTGTGCTCATAGCCTTGTGATTTGATTCTTCCGTTGTGTATCGAAACCTGACGCTTGGTTCCCTGACTTCGACCGGGATCAGAGCTTCGATGCCTTATACTAAGGAGCACGGCGTTGCCCCCGTACTGGATTTTGTTGTTGTCTGATATGCCCAAAGGACTTGGGCAAAATTTCTCTCCATTTCCCCTTAGCGTCATTCAGCCTTTTCTTTAGGTTTTGAATGATGGTCTTGTTCATTGATTCGGCCTGTCCGTTCCCACTAGGATGATATGACGTAGATAATATCCTTTTATTTTGTGATCCTTGAGGAACTTTGTTACTCTGCTTCCGATAAATTATTTTCCATTATCGTACATGATTTCGGCAGGTATCCCGAATCGGCATACGATGTGATCCTAGATGAAGTCTATAACTTCTTTTTCTCTGACTTTCTCGAAGGCTTGTGCTTCCACCCATTTACAGAAATAGTCAGTCATAAACAAAATGAATTTAGCTTTACCTGGAGTCGATGGCAGAGGGCCGACGATATCCATCCCCCATTTCATGAATGGCCATGGGGATAGGACCGTGTGAAGTTGTTCTCCGGGCTGATGCATACCTTTTACATTTATCACATTTTCGAAAAAACTCCTTTGTGTCTTTTTCCATACTATCCCAATAGCATCTTGCTCTGATAAGTTTGTTAACTAGTGATTTGGCACCGGAGTGATTCCCACAAGTACCTTCATGGACTTCCCGTAGAACATAATTAGTGTCACATGGTCCTAAATATACTACTAATGGTCTGTCGGACGTCCTTCTATACAATGTTCCATCTTTATCCAATCTGAATCGAGCATCTTTTATTTGTAAGGCCCTCGATTCTTTAGGGTCTGATGGGATTTTTCCGTTTTTCAAGTACTCGATATATTTATTCCTCCAATCCCAAGTTAATCTTGTGGATTTTATCATAGCGTGACCTTCTTCGATCACAGATCTCGAGAGTTGAACAACAGTACCCGAGCTGATTTCGTCTTCCTCAACAAATGACCCCAAATTTGCAAGTGCATCGGCTTCATTATTCTACTCGCAGGGTACGTGCTGCAAGGTCCATTCTTTAAAACGGTGCTAAGTCACTTGTAGCTTGTCCAAATACCTTTGCATTCTATCCTCTCAAACCTCGAAGCTTTTGTTTACTTGGTTTACTACCAGCAAAGAGTCACACTTGGCTTCAATGACTTCCGCCCCCAAGCTTGTAGCTAGTTCGAGACCTGCAATCATGGCCTTGTACTCAGCCTCATTGTTAGTCAACTTAGGAGTTTTGATGGATTTTCTAATAGTGATGCCCGTGGTCGGCTTCAAAACGATTCCTAGCCCGGACCCCTTCACATTCGAAGCATCGTATGTAAAAAGGGTCCAAACTCCCGATGATGTACCTGATTCTAACAAGAGTTCCTTCTCGACTTTGGGTACGAGGGTTGGCGTGAAATCGACCATGAAGTGTGCTAAAATTTGATACTTGATGGCCGTTCGAGGGTGATATTCAATATCATTCCCACTTAGTTCGACGGCCCATTTTGGCCAATCGGCCTGACAGTTTGGGCTTATGCAAAATATTTTGAAGCAGGTAAGTGGTTAATACACATATGGGGTGACACTGAAAATATGATTTTAGCTTCCTAGAGGCGCTTATTAGTGCCACTGCTAATTTCTCTAAGTGTGGATATCTAGCTTCTACTTCTCATAGAGTTTGACTTACATAATAAACAGGGAATTGCGTACCTTGCTCTTCTCGAACTAGGACACCACTTACCGCGATCTCTCAGACTGTCAAGTACAAGTAGAATTTTTCATCTACCTTTGGAGTATGAAGCAATGTTGGGCTCGAGAGGTATCACTTCAATTCTTCGAACGCCTGTTGGCATTCTGTGGTCCAGGCTAAATCGTATTTCTTGTTGAGTAGAGAGAAGAATTTATGACTCCGATCTGACGATCTCGAGATGAATCAACCTAAGGCAGTTATCCGCAATGTCAGCCTTTGGACGGCTTTAACGATGTCCACGACGGTGATGTCTTCTATAGCCTTGATTTTATCTGGATTGATCTCGATTCCCCGATTCGACACCATGAAGCCAAGGAACTTGCCCGAACTGACCCCGAAAATGCATTTCTCGAGGTTGAGCTTCATGTTGTATTTTCTCAGTATCTTGCATGTTTCCTGCAAATGTGTCAAATGGTCCTCTACGCGCAGGGACTTAACTAGCATGTCATCAATATAAACATACATTAACTTACCTATTTGTTCTTCGAATATTTTATTTACTAGGCATTGGTAGGTAGCTCCTGCGTTTTTTAGTCCGAAGGGCATTACATTATAACAATATGTTCCATACTTGGTGATAAATGAAGTCTTTTATTGGTCTTTTGGGTTCATTTGAATTTGATTGTACCCAGAATAAGCATCGAGAAAACTAAGGATCTCGTGGCCGGCCATGGCGTCGATCATGTGATCGATGTTAGGCAATGGAAAAGAATCTTTGGGACATGCCTTGTTTAAATCCTTATAATCTACACACATCCTAAGTTTGTTCCCTTTTTAGGAACTATGACTTTATTGGCTAACCATTCGGGATACTTCACTTCCCGAATGGATCCTATTTTGAGAAGTTTAGTTACCTCATCATTTATGAATGCGTGCTTTACCTCGGACTGGGCCTTATTTTTTGTTACATCAGCCTGAACATTGGGTCCAGGCTTAGTCGATGTGATGTTATCTCCGGCGGGATCCTTGTCATTTCTTAGTGGGACCAAGCAAAATAATCTATGTTATTAATAAGAATTTGAATAAGCTTTTTCCTGACTTCGGGGGCTAACCTCATTCCTAGGTATACCTTTCGCTCGGGCAGGTACTCGATCAATATAACATGTTCCAGCTCTTCGACCGTTGATTTGGTAGCATCGGAGCCTTCGGGAACAACAAAAGTTCGAGGGGTCAAAAAATCTTCCTCTTCCTCTTCCATTTCCTGCTTCTCCGATTCGGTCGAGGCTGGTGGCGATAATTGCTATTTGGCTTCCTATTTATCCTTGATACTCGATCCTTCTGATGTTGATAGTGTCGAAATCAGTATTACCTCATCGATCGCGAACATTTTCTTTTGCAGCATGCTGCTCCCCGTACACCATTTTTACCCCGTCCGGCGTCGGGAATTTCATCATTTGGTGGAGAATAAAAGAGACTGCCCACATGTTGTGGATCAAAGGCCTCCCGAGCAAGGCATTGTACCTCATGTCGCCCTCGATTACGTGAAACTTGGCATCTTGGATAGTTCCAGCCACGTTCACTCGTAGGATAATCACTCATTTAGTTGTTTCACTAGCCATATTGAAACCGTTCAAGATCCGAGCTATAGGTGTAGAGATATGATTTTTGAACCTCCCCAAGATTTTTTATATTTTAGCATGTAAATATTTAGTTTAGGTCTAATATCGCTATTTCAACTAATTTTGACTCTTTTACTTTATTTTATCACAAAAAATAAAAATTACAAAAAATTGGTTCGTTAATGTTTTGTAGTCATACAATTTTACTAGGATTCTTATTTTTAGTATAATCTTTGAAAAAATACAAAAAATAATTGCTAATTTTATTCCCATTTTGGTACATAAGCTAAGGTTAACTAGTAAGTTTATAGATTTTTACTTCTTAGAAAATAGAAAGAATTAAACTTGGGCTTATTGATATGTTTCTCTTGAATTTAAGTACTCATCTAGCCCAATTTTGAGCCCAAATTCGGATAGCTCATTTCTCTTAACCCTAAGCCCCTTCCCATAAATACATGACAAAGCTAAAGAAATGGGAGGAAGAAAAATAAATAAAAAACCTAGATCCCTAAGACTTTAGCTATCAGTCGTTATTCTAAAGTTGGCACCCCAAAAAAAATCAAGGAAGCTTCCGTCTTCTTCATCTTGGACAAAACCAAAAATCAAAAACACCTTGAAGAGGACCTATTTCCGAAAAAAGGCTTGAGAGCACTCAAAAATTGGAGACTCTCGTCTCTCTATTATACACGCCGGCGGATTCCCCTTCCCCACCTTCAGACTTCAATTTTCTTTGTGTTTTCAATTGGAAAACAATCACAACAAGCACACACACATTGGAAAAGGAGGACGGATTTGGGGGGAAGAGAATAAGATTTAAGAAAATTTGGGTTCAAAAATGGTGTCAGGTTGAAGTGGGTGTCCGATTTGGAGTGTCTGTTTGAGATCGATTCTGGGTTCCGGTTTCATCTTGCTGCTGTATTTTTGTCGTGCTTTCTTCTTGGCGAAGCAATGTGGAAATTTTCTTTACATATCAAATAAGAAGCACTTAACAGGTTCATTCTGTTATTCCTTTATATTAATGTAGTTTATTGTATTTGTTAATTTATTAGGTGATGACTGTGGCTGCTTGTTTCTCCTTTAGCTTCTGCTGGTGAAACTTTCTTATTGGTTGAGTGAGTAGGCAATTATATTTTCATCCTTTGGAGTTGAATGATTTCGAGAATTACATCCATGATAGTTTGTCGTAGGAGTTCCAATTTTATCATTTGAATCCACTTCTTTGCTCGACTAAATTTCTCTATTACCCGTTTGTGATATTACTAGATCTAGCTTGTGGTATAGACTTGGTGTGTTGCTAAAATAAAATAAAAAATCTGCTGTTTGAAGGGGTCATAAGGGTGACATTGAACATGTAAACGAATTAGATTGTAAACGTTTTGCTACTTCTATTCTTGTTTTAAACGAGAGAGAGAGGGCTTAAATCTGCTCTTTTGTTTTGTTTTTTTCTTGTTTTTTTGCTAATATCATAATCTACTAATTAACTTCAATTTTGTTTCTTTTTGTTGAGTTTAACTGAATCTCTAGTTCTACTGACTGGCAATTATTTTAGTTTAGCTCAATTGTTGTTTAAACATAGTAGAAAACAGTTGATCGTTTTTTGGGTCAATTAGTTCGTAACCGTGTCTAATGGACTTGAAATTCTTTTGGATCTTTTTTAGCAATTTGATTTCCTTCATTGATCATTTTTCTTAGGCAAACTTTTAGGCACGTAATTAAATCATCACAATTACGGGTACGGTTCCCGTGGATTAGTTGTGATACCTAATCTCAAATAGGTTTTAAATATGAACATCCGTAGTTAAATGTTTTTCCTTTAATAAAATTGAGGTGTGACATCCAATCACCTAGTCTATGACCCTTATGTATATACAAGATTAGAATGGGACATGCCTTGAACTTTCGTAGCTTGCTTTAGGTGCGTTAATTAAATAATTATCATAGCTACGGGTACGGTTCCTGTTACGTAGTTGTGATGCTTAACTACTAAAATTCGGGGTACATTTATGTGACCCGGCCACAATTTAATCTTGTTAATAAAATAAACATGTTGTGGATCGTGAGTACGGTTCCCGTGACATGATTCGCAACGTGTAATCAAATAATTAGTTGTATAACAATTGGATTATTAAAGTGGTTTTAAAAGGAATAAATGCACATAGGTTTTAAAATGTTTTAAAATTAAGTTGGCCAATATTAACAGTTGAGCGACCGTGCTAAAACCACGGAACTCGGGAATGCCTAACACCTTCTCCCGGGTTAACAGAATTCCTTACCCGGATTTTTGTGTTTCGCTGACCGTAAAACAGAGTCAATTTTTCCTCGATTCAGGATTTAAAACCGGTGACTTGGGACACCATAAATTATCCCAAGTGGCAACTCTGAATTTTAAATAAAATATTCTCATTTCGATTGTCACTTAAATTGGAAAAAAACTCCCTTATATACTCCCTCTCGGGATGGTAAAAAGGAGGTGTGACAGCTATGACGACTTTGCTGGGGACAAGAACCCAGAACTTCTGGTTCAGGGTTCAGAATTCGAGCTTAGAATAACTATTATAGCTGGCGTGGTTTATGATCTGATTTTTACATGCTTGGGCATAATGTACTAAATGTCACTTTTTATCGCTTTGATATTATTTGAACTGTATATAAACTGTTGTGAAACATTTATCTTCTCATCTTCGAAGAAGTGCATGCTAGCGTGACTTCTTTTCTGTTAGTGTCATACCTTAATTTGGAAAGAGGCTCGGACAAGTTACAAAGCCGGATGGCCTTTGTTTCCCGGTACGTAGCCCCCCCTCCCCCGGCTCGAGTTGTCTACTTGGGTACACCAAGTCTAGCACAATATACCCAGGTTTTAAACCTAGAATAACTTAGCCTCATGTCGGATTCCTAGTATGAACACTTATTTGCATCGTGTGCATTTGACTTTGGAGACTCAACACAGGGGTTGGGTCCGTTTAGGACAGGCGTACCCAAAGAATAAAAGACCATCATGATGCATCCTATGTGCTACATGTTGCAATTTTCAAGGGTAAAAGAGGTCATTTGACGGACCAATGAGGTTTGAGGATAAATGAAAAAAAGAGGGTGAAGTGTGAAAATAAAGCAAGTAGGACCCAGTTATTTTTTTCTTTCACATTTTTTTTAAGAAAAAGACCAAAAAAAATATATGAAAAACCCATAAAGATTTTGCACTTTCCCATCATTTTCCAAAAATCAAAAAGAAAGGAAAAAGAAAATCCAAAAAGAGTTTACATGTTTCACCATTTTTTTTTAAAAAAAAGACAAAAAATATATTTTCTCTAGATTAGTAATTTTTTTTAATTCTCGCCTGTATCCAATCTGCCCTAACTATGCATACCTGATTCTCGTCTTTTGGGGCGTGATATGTAGGCAAACCATATAGGGTCCGGTTTTCCAAGTGAGTTTAGGTTCTTGGCTTCGCGAGGTCTTAGTCAAATCATGTATTTTAAGCCATTTTTAGCCACATAGGTTAATTTTAGAAAAGTAGTCACAATCATGTCTTGCATGTGTCCAACAGGGGGTTATTGTCTCACATAACGTTCTAGGTCTTTAACTTATTTGGTCTTAATTTTCTCATACAGGTGTGGATCTACTTATCGGAGTTTGGGCATTACAGACGCCCTAGGACCATCCAGTCAGAGTCGCTCATTCAGGAGTTTGCTTAAGGAGATTTTTTTAGTTATTATGTTTTGAGTCTGTTGTTCTTTTTATGTCATCTTTTACTTTCTAGTTTTGAACAGTAATGTCGAGTCTTTTAGGTGATGTTAGAGTCTGTCATAGTCTATTTAAGTTTGCCGAGTCTTTTGTTATTGTATTTGTGTGTGGTGAAATCAGAGGAATCCATCTCCCGCCATTAAGGTATATTCGAAATGTCATGACAGCACCTCGAGGCTGTGGGATCATGATCGGGCTCCCTATCTTGAGGATTATCCGCGGCCCTGCAATGGCTTCGATGTTAAGGGATCTGTCCGCGGCCCAGCAAAAGTTACGAAGACGGGGGACTCCCGAGGCAAGTAGCTAGAATTAATAGGCTCTGGTATCTTGTCTAGCCGTCTCATCCCCTTATCTTTACATTTAATGCACTATGTACCATACCGTGTTCCCTCGCCTATATAAGAGGAACCCATACCATTTTGTAAAGGGCTGATGTTGCTCCATTTTCTCCAAGTGCAATAATATCTTCTCTCTCTCTTCTCTAATTTGCTTATTCCCCTTGGTTCAAAGTCATTTATCTTCGGTTATTCTCCTTACCACTTTGTACTAGCTCGAGGCCGCCCCTGTATTCATTGCTTCTTAACTTGTGCTTCATTCTATAGTTTAATATTGGCCGAAAGAGCCCTATTTAATTATACCTTTAACTTTACCCCAACCCCGGTTGTCCCCGGTAGTTCGAGATTGATACCAACGTCGACCCCGAGGTCCCATCGACCATCTTTGCACTCGGATAACAGGCCCGTTTGGTTTGTTTACGGCTTTGTCTTAGCTCGTATTTTATCATTATACTTCACGTTCTTAGCATTAACTGCTTTAACAACTAGCTCGGAAATAGATCACGTATTTTTAGAATTCCATCGTGGGGCTAAAAATAATAGTGATTGTTTTCTTGCTTGTTTCGTCACACAAACACACATTATCTTTTACACTTTTTCTTGTCCAAGATCCTTTGATTTCAAGCCAAAATCTCCAGTTCGGTAAACGAAGTTGAGAACGACAACCTCAAAAATCACGGGGAAAATGGCGTGGTTATCTCGGCCGCTGAAGCACTTCCGCGGAATCTTGATATCACTCCTGGACCGATCCTAGCGGACACAGATTCACAGGACGCACAACAAGTTGACGAAACTTATCACACCGACAGGAGCGTACGACACATCGACCAACAAGAAGCACAAAAAATCCCGGCCCGGGTAGAACAGGAAGTTAGTCTTCATGTTATTTTTGAAATGTTGCAGGAACGACAGTTGGCTATCGCTCGGCTGCAAAGTCGCCCGGAGACCCCTGTCACGACTCGAAATTCCCACCCTCGGGAGTCGTGATGGCGCCTACTAATGTGAGCTAGGCAAGCCAACCCTTAACTATCTACTACCTTTTTCATATTACTTCTTTTTAAAACAAACATAGGGCGACAATATAAATAAAGCGGAAGTTAGGAAATAGGCGGAAGTCAACCTTTATAAAGCTTAGAGCTACGTCTATTACCACTTTTAAACTTCAATACCCCAAAATCTGGTGTCACAGTACCACAGGCTGTTTAAGAGTCACTACATACAAAGTCTGAAAAAAATACATAGTACTGTTCCTGAGCAAGAGATAAAGGAAACAGGAAATAGAGATAGAGGGAGACGCCAGGGCCCGCGAACGTCTGCAGGTCTACCTTGGGTCTCCGGATGGACTGAAGGAAGCCTTCCTACTATTGTCCGAAAGCTGCTCCGGGATCTGCACACAGTGCATAGTGTAGTATCAGCAGAACCGACCTCATGTGCTGGTAAGTGTCTGGCCTAACCCCGGCGAAATAGTAACAAGGCTAGGACCAAACTCCAGATAAACCTGTGCAGTTATATAATATATGACGGAAAAGTAAACAGATAATAAGCATTAAAGCTGGGAAAGGGGAACATGCTTCGGGGATAGCTCATAAAAGCAAAATAGCAAGGAGTAAATAAGGAAGCTGACAATATAACTTCTAACACAGATAAAGAAAAGTAAAGACAACTTTCACTTTTAGTTTCCATCATGTTGCAGGCCTGCAACCCGATCCCATTTCTCATATCTTATCGTAGGCATACCACCCCGATCCCATTTCATAATATCTTGTGGTAGGCGTACCACCCGCTCCCATTTCATAATATCTTGTGGTAGGCGTACCACCCTCTCCCATTTCATAATATCTATATCTTGTGGTAGGCGTACCACCCGCTCCCATTTCATAATATCTTTTGGTAGGCGTACCACCCACTCCCATTTCATAATATCTTGTAATTCAAGGAATCCCGGCAAGGGAAAATAATCAATATAATAACTTCCCGGCAAGGGAACACAACA